TGGACCCCATGAGCACAAGCTGAACCGCAGAGGCTGGCCTGGAGCCCAGGTCAGTTTCACTACCTCCAGCCTTGATAAAGTAGGGAGAAGCTGGTCCCCCTCATCAAGAAGCTACAAAGACCTGGCCCAGGAGATGGAGAAGATGAAGGAGGATGAGAGGGAAGGTGGAACAGTTGCAGACCCAGCTGCCACCTCTTGCCATGGTGAGCAGCAGATAAGCATCAACAGTATGAGCTGCAGAAGCACCTGCTCTGACTTTCCACGTGTAAAAACGCTTCACTTCCACCCTCCAAATCTTGCGCAAATAGATCTCTTGTAGCCCACTCTAACCAGAAACATACATGGAAGGAATTCCTAGCCAAGTTGACATATTTTACAAAGCCACTACTACCGAGGTGTTTTTATTGTTGTTATTTCTATATTCGATGTTACTGTTGTCAAAATCGTAATCTTCTTCTCTTCAGCGAAGCAGAATATTCATTTTGGCTAGAAAAACATGTTTGGGGATAAGGGAACTGGCAAAAAAAAAAAAAAGAGGCTAGAAAGATAAGGTAGGCTTGGTCATGCTGAGCCTCACTAGCCACATTATGGAGTTTGGACTTGTTCATGGGTGAAATTGGTCTTTATTTTCCTTTCTTGTGTCTTTATCTGGTTTTGCTCTTAGGGTATGCTGGCCTCATAGAATTAGTTAGGAAGTGTCCCCTCTTCAATTTTTCTGGAAGAGATTGTAGAGAATTGGTATCATTTCTTCCTTAAATATTTGGTAGAATTCACCATCTGGGCCTAGTGCTTTATTTTTTGGAAGGCTATTTAAATATTGATTCAATTTCTGTAATAGATATAGGCCAGTTCAGATTATCTATTTCTCCTTGTGTAAATTTTAGTAGATTGCATCTTTCAAGGAATTGGTCCATTTTATCTGTTATCCAATTTGTGGGCATAGAGTTGTTCATACTATCCCTCTATTGTCCTTTTAAAGTCCATAGGATCAGTAGTGATGATGATGATCCTGCTTTCATTTCTGATATTAGTAATTTGTGTCTTCTCTAGCCTGGCTAGAGGTTTATCAATTTTATTGAGTTTTTCAAAGAACCAGCTTTGGTTTTATGGTTTTTCTCTACTGTTTTCCTGTTTTCAGTTTTATTGATTTCTCCTCTAATCTTTATTATTTCTTTTCTTCTGTTTTATTTAGGCTTATATTAGTCTTCTTTCTCTTGTTTTCTAAAGTAGAAGCTTAGATTATTGATTTTCAATCTTTCTTCTTTTATAATATTTGCATTTAATGCTATAAGTTTCTCTCCAAGCACTGCTTTTGCCACATCCCACAAATTTTGTAAGTTGCATTTTCATTTTCATGTAAAATACACCTCGTTTAAAATAATTTTAAGATTTGTCTTTGACACATGTATTGTTTAGATAGAACTATGTTTGTTTAATCTCCAAATATTTTGTGATTTTCCACCTTTCTGTTATGAATTTATAGTTTCATAATATTTTAAACAGTTGTATAGCATTTTGTTACATAGATATATCACAATTTATATAAAATGTTTTTTAGACTTTTTGCTGTTATAAAATAATTTTTTTTAATATTTTATTTATTTATTTATTTATTTATTTGGTTGTGCTGGGTCTTGGTTGCAGCAGGTGGGCTCCTTAGTTGCAGCTTGCCAGCTTCTTAGTTGTGGCATGCAAACTCTTAGTTGCAGCATGCATGTGGGATCTAGTTCCCTGACCAGGGATCAAACCCGGGCCCCCTCCATTGGGAGCATGGAGACTTAACCACTATGCCACCAGGGAATTCCCTAAAATAATTTTATAATTAATATCCTGACACATAAAACTTTGTAACTATAATGAAGTATGAGAAGTGTTATACTAAGGGAGGTTTAGGATGCTCAGATAACACATAGCAGGGAGACCTAATTTGGTCTAGGAAGCTCGAGAAAGCCTTCCTCAAAGAAAGCTATTTAAGCTGAGAGTCAAGTAGTTGTTATGGGAAAACTAAGTGGAAAATATCAGGCAAAGGAAGGCCTGGAAGAGGAGGATTGGAAAAGGTTGGAGTTGCAGGGGAAGAATAAGTGTGGAGAATGACTTGTTTCAGGAAGTGAAAAAGTGCATTTGCCTGGAACAAAATGTTTGAGGGTAGAGGAAGTGGCAAGAAAATGAGGCTAGAAAGGTCAGCTAGCTAACAAACCATATTAAAGGAATTCCCCCACTGCTGAGACCCCGGGTGGGCTCAGTCCTTGGTCGGGGAACTAAGATTTCCAAAGTCCAAAAAAAGAATTTTTACTTTATCTTAAGAGTAAAGGAGAATGCTACAGCAGTGTTAACACGTGTGCATTAGTATCAATAGTGTTTGTAACTAACAACCCTATATTAAAGCAAGAAAATGATGGGATTCAACTCGTAAAGCACTGAGAACAAGTACAAAGAATATAGAATCCCGGGGACTTCCCTGAGGGTCCAGTGGTTAAGACTCCTCGCTTCCACTGCAGGGGACATGGGTTTGATCCCTGGGTATGGCCAAAAAAAAAAGAAAGAATTTGGAATTAGAGCCCTACCACCAACTTTTCCTAGCCGTGTGACCTGGAGCAAGTTAATTAAACCTCTCTGTGCCACAGCTTCCTCTGGTAAATAAGGAAAATTATTTTTTCTTCATAGGGTGGTTTTCAGGAGTGAGAGAGAAAACTAAGAAAAGCTTCTGTCACAAAGGAGTTTCCTTTGATATTGGTCCCTTTATCTTATGGACACCTACCTTACCTCAGTGAACCAAAAAAAATCCCCTGTGCCCAGTATAACAATTTTAGGTCAAAGAGTTTCTTTTGCAGAGCTTTGCAATTCACAGTGTGGTTTAATGTACATTAATTGCCCTCAGGAAACTCCTAGATCAGAATATGAATGAGCTACAAAAGCAAGTGAAAATCTTAAAGGATAAAGAGAATCAACTGGAAATGACCAGTTCTCAGCAACGATCCAGAATTCAGCAACAAGAGGCCCAACTTAAACAACTGGAAAATGAAAAAAGAAAATCTGATGAGGTAAGAAAGCAAATAGGTATGCTTCTCAGTTTCCCTATTCCCTTAGACCTAATTGATAGTTAATAAGAGCTAATAATTATTGAATGCCTAGCACTTTACCCATTAAGTTTAGTCAGGATTCAGTCAGGAAAGCAGAATCTACTCTAGGTATTGCAAGCAAGAAGGAATTTAACACGGGGAAGAACATGCTTACAGAACTGTTGGAAGGGAGAGGTAGGGGTGAGTAGAAGGTTGCCAGCTTTCAATAAATCCAGAAGTTCAGAAATCACAGGGAAACCAACTCCTGCAGCACCAAAGTGGGAGATTTACAGGAACTCTCCCTGAAGCCCTTACAAAAGTCTCATCTGCTGTCTTCCCATTCATCTACCTGGTAGTGTTACCCAGATACTGGATTTGCCTGGTGGTAGGTGTTGAGCCAAAAGATACAGCCAAGCCAAAGGACAGGAGAAGGAAGGATTTGTTACTTTCAGCAAGTAAGAACACCAGGGCTCTCTCCCAAAGCCGTGTCTCCTTGAACAGCAAAATCGGGGAAGTTTTAAGCTAAGGGTACATGCATATTCATGAAGGAGCTTGAGGAGAGGAGAATTCAGCATAGAATTGGGGCAAAGGTCCACAGAGTCCAAGCTTTAGTTGATTGAAGTCATGAGGGTCAACATCATCATTCTGTCCTCCACCTAGGTGGGGGTCTTACTTCCTGTAGAACTCAAAGATGTGTATCAGATTGTTATGTATATCCCTTGAGGAGGAACTAGGACTAGATTTATCGCTGAACTATTGTTTCTTGACTGCTTTTCCTTTGTTCTTACATCCCCTCACTTCCCTTTAGACCATTAATTACTGAGACCTGTTCAAGGGCAAGCATCATGGCCAGGCTTAGATCACAAAATGGATTAGGCCAAAAATGGCTTCTGTCAAGAAAGCCATGCCTGGTTCTTTCTCCAGGGACCCCCTACCATATTTGCTTCGAGTGGCACTAGAGGAGAACAGTGGCTTTTCCTGTGCTTTCCCCCATGTTTTCCAAACTGTGTGCAGCTGTCTTTCATTTGCAGAAAACAAACTGGAACTCTGCTGTCAAGGGAGTTTGGGAAATGTTTTCAGACTCCCAACCTTGCAGCAGAGGGGACAGATTAGAAAAATAGGGGCCCTGGTAAGCAATGTCACAGTCCACTTTCTATAATCAGCTTCCAAACAAACCCTTTTACCCAATATTTAACCTTATAAACAATAAAAAGAATAGTATGCTTGAGAAGCAAGAAAAACTACAATTCTCCAGCCTGTGGAAAGAAAACCACATTCACAGAAAGATAGACAAAATGAAAAGGCAGAGGACTTTATACCAGATGAAGGAACAAGATAAAACCCCAGAAAAACAACTAAGTGAAGTGGAGATAGGCAACCTTCTAGAAAAAGAATTCAGAATAATGATAGTGAAGATGATCCAGGACCTCGGAAAAAGAATGGAGGCAAAGACCGAGAAGATGCAAGAAATATTTAACAAAGACCTAGAAGAATTAAAGAACAAACAAACAGAGATGAACAATACAATAACTGAAATGAAAACTACACTAGAAGGAATCAATAGCAGAATAACTGAGGCAGAAGAATGGATAAGTGACCTGGAAGACAGAATGGTGGAATTCACTGCCATGGAACAGAATAAAGAAAAAAGAATGAAAAGAAATGAAGACAGCCTGAGAGACCGCTGGGGCAACATTAAACGCAACAACATTCACATTATAGGGGTCTCAGAAGGAGAAGAGAGGAGAAAGGACCCGAGAAAATATTTGAAGATATTATAGTCGAAAACTTCCATAACATGGGAAAGGAAATAGCTACCCAAGTCCAGCAAACACAGAGAGTTCCAGGCAGGAAGAAATAGAAAATATGAACAAACCAATCACAAGAAATGAAATTGAAACTGTGATTAAAAATCTTCCAACAAACAAAAGTCCTGGACCAGATGGCTTCACAGGTGAATTCTATCAAACATTTAGAGAAGAGCTAACATTCACCCTTCTCAAACTCTTCCAAAAAATTGCAGAGGAAGGAACACTCCCAAACCCATTCTGTGAGGCCACCATCTCCCTGATACCAAAGCCAGACAAAGATACTACAAAAAAAGAAAATTATAGACCAATATCACTGATGACTATAGATGCAAAAATCGTCAACAAAATCCAACAACACATTAAAAGGATCATACACCATGATCAAGTGGGATTTACCCCAGGGATGCAAGGATTCTTCAATATACGCAAATCAATCAATGTGATACACCATATTAACAAACTGAAGAATAAAAACCATAAGATCATCTCAATAGATGCAGAAAAAGCTTCTGACAAAATTCAACACCCATTTATAATAAAAACTCTCCAGAAAGTGGGCATAGTGGGAACCTACCTCAACATAATAAAGGCCATATACGACAAACCCACAGAAAACATCATTCTCAATGGTGAAAACTGAAAGCATTTCCTCTAAGATCTGGAACAAGACAAGGATGTCCACTCTCTCCACCATTATTCAACATAGTTTTGGAAGTCCTAGCCATGGCAATCAGAGAAGAAAAAGAAATAAAAGGAATACAAATTGGAAAACAAGAAGTAAAACTGTCACTGTTTGCAGATGACATGATACTATACATAAAGAATCCTAAAGGTGCCACCAAAAAACTGCTAGAGCTAATCAATGAATCTGGTAAAGTTGCAGAATACAAAATTAATGCACAGAAATCTCTTGCATTCCTAGACACTAACAATGAAAGACCAGAAAGAGAAATTAAGGAAACAATCCCATTCACCATTGCAACAAAAAGAATAAAATACCTAGGAATAAACCTTCCTAAGGAGGTAAAAGATGTGTACTCAGAAAACTATAAGACACTGATGAAAGAAATCAAAGATGACACAAACAGATGGAGAGATATACCATGTTCTTGTATTGGAAGAATCCATATTGTGAAAATATTGGGCTATACTACCCAAAACAATCTACAGATTCAATGCAATCCCTATCAAATTACCAGTGAGGGAAAAAAGTGGAGCTGGAGGAATCAGACTCCCTCACTTCAGACTATACTATAAAGCTACAGTAATCAAGACAATATGGTACTGGCACAAAAACAGAAATATAGATCAATGGAACAGGATAGAAAGCCCAGAGGTAAACCCACGCACCTATTGCCAACTATCTATGACAAAGGAGGCAAGGATATACAATGGAGAAAAGACAGTCTCTTCAATAAGTGGTGCTGGGAAAACTGGACAGCTACATGTAAAAGAATGAAATTAGAACACTTCCTAACACCATACACAAAAATAAACTCAAAATGGATTGGAGACCTAAATGTAAGGCCAGACACTATAAAACTCTTAGAGGGAAACACAGGAAGAACACTCTTTGATATAAATCACAGCAAGATCTTTTTTGATCTACCTCCTAGAGAAATGGAAATAAAAACAAAAATAAACAAATGGGACCTAATCAAACTTTAAAGCTTTTGCAAAGCAAAGGAGACTGCAAACAAGACGAAAAGACAACCCTCAGAATGGGAGAAAATATTTGCAAACTAATCAACAGACAAAGGATTAATCTCCAAAATATATAAACAGCTTATGCAGCTCAATATTAAAAAAACAAACAACCCAATCAAAAAAGGTCAGAAGACCTAAATAGACATTTCTCCAAAAAAGACATACAGAGGGCCAAGAAACACATGAAAAGCTGCTCAACATCACTAATTATTAGAGAAATGCAAATCAAAACTACAATGAGGTATCACCTCACACGAGTTAGAATGGGCATCATCAGAAAATCTACAGACAACAGATGCTGGAGGGGGTGCGGAGAAAAGGGAACCCTCTTGCACTGTTGGTAGGAATGTAAATTGATACAGCCCCTATGGAGAACAGTGTGGAGGTTCCTTAAAAAACTAAAAATAGAATTACCATATGACCCAGCCATCGCACTACCGGGCATATACCCAGAGAAAACCATAACTTAAAAAGACACATGCACCCCAATGTTCATTGCAGCACTATTTACAACAGCCAGGTCATGGAAGCAACCTAAATGCCCATCGACAGACGAATGGATAAAGATGATGTGGTACATATATACAATGGAATATTACTCAGCCATAACAAGGAACGATATTGGGTCATTTGTAGAGACATGGATGGATCTAGGGACTGTCATACAGAATGAAGTAAGTCAGAAAGAGAAAAACAAATATCGTATATTAATGCATATATGTGGAACCTAGAAAAATGGTACAGATGAACCAGTTTGCAGGGCAGAAATAGAGACACAGACGTAGAGAACAAACATATGGACCTAGGTTGGAAAGCGATGATGGGAGGGGAGGTCGAGGGGCGGCGCTGGTGGTGGGATGAATTGGGAGATTGGGATTGACATATATACACTAATATATTTAAAATAGATAACTAATAAGAACCTGCTGTATAAAAAATAATAATATAAAATTTAAAAAAATGAAGAATAGTATGCTTTCCTCTAATAGGATGCACTGTCACTCATATAAATGAAGGTGAAATCGCACAACTCAGATTGGGACTTGAACCCAGCCAAAACCCACATTGGGACTTGAACCCACTGTTTTAATTGAGATCACACACCTGGCCTCAGGAATTAATGAAGCTGAGGTTCTTCTGTCTCATCTCAGAAAGAATTCAGTGGATAACAAAGTGATAGGTAAGAAATGGATTTATTTAGAGAGAAACATATTCCTTAGACAGAATGCAGTCCATCTCAAAAGGCCAGAGTGGCCCTGGGAGAAACTCACTCCACAGACAGAGTGTGGGCCATCTCAGAAGGTGAGAGGCCTCGAAATATGGCGTGGTTAATTTTTATAGGCTGGGTAATTTCATAGGCTAATGAGTGGGAGGATTATTCCAACTGTTTTGGAGAAGGGACAGGGATTTGTAGGAATTGGGCGACTTCCCACTTTTGGGACTTTTATGGTTGGCCTCAGAACT